ATCATTTTATATATTTCAATGGATACAATTATAAAAATGACAACATTTTATAATGTACTACAAATTCCTAAAATACTACAATACAACAGGTGACAGAAACATTTACAGTGTTTACAGCACACAAAGAAATATTTCCAAAAGATTTCGCTGAAATATCTAACTACATGGCAGAATTTAAAGGAATAAGATGTTAATTGATGGGCTGGAGTTCTGTGTATTACTTGTGGATTATTGTGATGCTTTTATCAGCAGCTTGGACTCTCATTCTGACGGCACCCATTCACTGCAGAGGAACCATTGGTGAACAAGAGATGTAACGAAGAAACAAACTCATATACATCTTGGATAGCCTAAGTAAATGTTTTATTTTTAGGTGAATTGTTCCTTTAATCAACATCTAGAGACAACATCATAAATTAGGTGGCATCATAAGAGGTGGCAAACAAGGTATAATTGTCTAAATGATAGTGATCATAGACCTATATTCGCTTTACTGATCTGCTGAGTGAATGTGAATTACAGTTTAATTCATCTGAACAAACAGCACCCTCTTCCGTTTAACTAATTAACTCAATATAGTAGACCCAGAATTAAAATGTAAACAGAAATGTAGATACAGAATAGACTGACAAACATTCAAGAATATGCAGCTGTACACAAAAGCAGAATGGTGAAACCGTGCAATCATAACTAAAATATATATTAACAAAAAGCGTAACGTGACATTAGATACGTGAACGAATCTTTTAAGTAACGTTATATGAATCAGTGTTTTGAACAAACCTTTCAAGGGAACGAGTCGTCATTCTTTCAGCCACATAACTGAACAGCTGATTTGGTGGTTGCCTAGCAACATAAAAAACTGCAGCGCACTGCTCTTTTTTAAAAGTCACCCAAAAAAAAAAAGGCAGTGCGGTGCGCCTCGCGTTTTCAGACCAAAAAAACGCGTTCGGTGTGATCGTATGGAGTCAATATAATGCCACATATATATACAAAATAATAAAGTTTTGCAAAAGAAAATAAAGTTTTGCAAACTAAATAAAAGTATTGAGAAAAAATAAATGTGTTTTTTGCAAACAAAAATAAAGAATCGCAAAATATAAATGAAACAGCACAAAAGCAATGATTTTGCAATACATATTTTCCATGGCCATATCTACTAATGTATTTGCAACGCTGCTTTTATTTTGCGTTTCAGTCAAGTTTGAGCTTGCCATACCGTTTTTCCCTTTGCGCTGTCTCACTTTCTGGCACTGTTTTGACATGGGGTGGAGTCAAGGGACTGGGGCATAACTCCTGGCATAAATTAAGAAATTACTGTAACTGTTAAGTTTTTAAAAAAAATTAAGCTTGAGTCTTTTTGGTTTAGTTTTGTCATGGCCACGAGATATTAATTCGTGGGAATGTGATAATATGTCGTGGCCATGAGATCCTATCGAGGGAACAACTTCTAGTTGATAGTATATGCTACCATATATTTTGCAAATACTGTAAACGCCTGACAATTATGCCAATAAAGTTTTGACTTTATGATTGCATTTACACCTGTATGTGGCGATAAATGAGTGGTGTTTTCATTTACAAATGAAACCACACAAATTATTCATTTATAATTCTAGTATTTATAATTATAGGGTTAGGGTATTTATAGGGTTATTGTTAAATTCATCCTCTAAACTGCACTTCCAGTAAAAATTCCTGTCATATAGCATAATCAAAGCTTTATTGGCATGTCGGGCATTTACAGATTAGGCTATTATTTACAAAACTCTTCAAGGCTGCGTTTGCCAAAAGCATCGTAAGCCAAATGATGACAATGGTTCTTCAATCGATTTAGGCTTAAGATGCTTTTGGGAAACGCAGCCCTGAACATTAAGTAAAGAGATCGAAATGAAGGTAAAAAAAAATCAAATACATAACAAATATAAAAATATTACCAATAATAATAATAATAACAATAAAATACATGGATTTACAAGACTTGTGGGATGGATAAAAAAATATATTGTAGGCCTATTTTATTTTATGTACTTTATTTAACATTTATTCATAATAAACGTTATTCGAATGTTGTCTACATCGCGTGCAACACAGTCCCGTAGCCTAGGACTATGGTTAACACTTAAACCACCAGAGGTCGCTGTATACCTAAAAGCGCCAGCGGGTAAAATTTACCCATACACATGACTATTGTTTTGATATGGCTAAAAAACCTATGTCACCATATTATGCCACAGTCTTCACAATGTCTAGAGTTATTTTTTAGTCATCAACTATGTTTTTGTCCTGTTGTTTTAAGTTCACGGCTATTTTTAAGCAGGTTACATTAATCAATTTTCTTAATGGTGAATATAAACCAGCTTGCAATGACAACGAGAATTACTAGGAAATAAATACATATTAAGGTGGTGTAATATTATCATAAAATGTTTTAAGATAATCCATGTTTTTTAAATTACTAAAATACCCTAAATAGACTATAATAAGCCATAATAATTCACCACACTGCATGTATGCACTAGGATGTATGATACAACAACAAATTCAATCGCACAGTTTCACCTAATCAATTATTTATTTGTTTAGTTATATAATTTATATTTTGAATAAGAGAACAACACCAATAAACTTGGGGTAATCATAAAAATAGTTTTATTCATTACATCATAATTCAGATTTTTTTTTTTAAGGAATAAATAGCTAAGTGACACAGTAGAGAACAATAAACGACAAAAAAAATTTGCAAAACAAAAATTCATAATTAATCTTAAACTTGGGGTAATCATAAAAATAGTTTTATTCATTACATCATAATTCAGATTTTTTTTTTTAAGGAATAAATAGCTAAGTGACACAGTAGAGAACAATAAACGACAAAAAAAATTTGCAAAACAAAAATTCATAATTAATCTAAAGTCTGAACATTTATGAGTTGGCTAAAACATCTTAATTTGAACATGCGTTGTGTGACTGTTTGCAGTAAGCTAACATGTTGCTCAATTACAGCGCGACAATAAAGGAATTATGTGTGTAAATTTGACTCGATGGGTCAAATTTAGGTATAAATGCCCAGCTTTTATTCTGGTTTTATCTAGACAATTTTTTAACAACAGGGGATTGTAAATAACACAATTTTAGTAAAAGTCAATGACTGTGAGACTTGGATATTCTTTATTGAAAACATATTATGTAGCCTACATTTGAAAAACAGCTATGACCCCGTGGCAGTTCTAGTGTTAATATAATAATTTAATAATGTACAAATTTTTTTAATCTAACATTTCTTAATTCAAAATAAAATATTAATAAATACATATCTGATAACCCCAGGTTGATATGGCCACGCGGGTTTGTTTACGCATTCAATTTATGAGAAATTGAAAGAATTTTAAAACAAAAAGAGCTTCATTTTTTTTTTAAACTTAACAGTTACAGTCATTTCTTAATTTATGCCAGGAGTTATGTAAATGAAAAACGAAGTCGAGATCGATATGAAGCTTGAGTCGTAGACCTTTTTAATGATGTAAGTTAGTTTATGAAGTTAATTACATTCTTTAACATTAAAACTAGCAGTAACTCTGAACTCATGTAAACAAAGAACGCTTCTGTGCGCTGGTGTCCTCCCACAGGTTAAGAGATTTTAAACAAACAAATTTAGTTAACCAAATGAAACAATACACATTTTAATGCTATAAAAGTGTGCACATTGAGAGAAGTAAACAGCAGATGTTCATGTTAACAACTTCTTTAACTTGAGCAAACACTGCTAATACACATATACATTTGTTAATAAAATGATAACATGCATGTTTAATGCTAGAGAATAAAAGGAAACGATCCACCCCCATGCCTCTGCTCAACGATGGTGCCTGGATCAGTGAGCTGCGTCTGGGGCCCGGGCCTGTTGTACATGCCCCCGTCCCTTGACTCCACCCCATGTCAAAACAGTGCCAGAAAGCGAGACAGCGCAAAGGAAAAAACGGTATGGCAAGCTCAAACTTGACTGAAACGCAAAATAAAAGCAGCGTTGCAAATACATTAGTAGATATGGCCATGGAAAATATGTATTGCAAAATCATTGCTTTTGTGCTGTTTCATTTATATTTTGCAATTCTTTATTTTTGTTTGTAAAACTTATTTTCTTCTCGCAATACTTCATTTTCTTTTGCAATTCTTTATTTTTGTTTGCAAAAAACACATTTATTTTTTTCTCAAAACTATATTTTCGTTTGCAAAACTTTATTTTCTTTTGCAAAATTTTATTATTTTGCATATATATGTGGCATTATATTGACTCCATATTATGATCGGGGCCTAACGGTGCAACCTGCAGGATTCAAAAAGATTCGACTCACAAAGATGAATCAAAATCCCTACCACTAATGTAAACATTTGACGTTTAAACTCTTAAACTGACTTGAAAAATACCCAGTAAAAATCATGATCCAACCATACTGGTCTCATCATGTTGAATATTCAATAATCCTCGGCCGATTCCAGGAACTTGTTGCGTCAATTCCCGACAATGAAGCGTATTTGCTGTTCCGGCTTGAAAAATACCCAGTAAAAATCATGATCCAACCATACTGGTCTCATCATCTTGAATATTCAATAATCTCCGGGCCGATTCCAGGAACTTGTTGCGTCAATTCCCGACAATGAAGCGTATTTGCTGTTCCGCACTACATTTCCCACAATCCTCTGGAATGTGCGTCTGGGTGTGTGGGAGAAAGATTAAAATTGCACCATCTGCAGACTTTGATTTGGTATCAATGGTGAGAACCTACTTTGTTTGACTAAATAGACATGCGAGACGTATCTTATGTTTTTTGTAGCTAAGCTAGAGGTCTATCTTACTACATTTCGTAAAGCTAAATATGGTGTTTTATTAAAGCTGTTCGACAAACCAACTTCGTCAGCTAGCCAACGCAGCTAGCCAGCTCACTTCACGCACGCGAATCACTAACGTTAGCACATCATCAAACGAATCTGCTTGTTTGTCTTTTAGCGTGTTTTGCTGTTGTGCTATCATGAAATCATGTTGCTGTTAACATGTTACGCGTTTTATTTCCGTTTTATCTGGTGCTTACAAGACAATGTCCCCATTTTTAGCAGTCACTCGCTATCAAAATCTTGGCTGTCTGAAAACATAGTGAGCTGCGTACTTTAACAGCATTGGTGTCTATAATTGGTGCGTTTGAACATTTTGAGACATAAAGAGAGCAAAATCACTGATCTTGTGTCTGTTGTGATTTCTGTGTTGCTAACATACAGCTCCGTCAATGTTTAACGCTATGATTTGTTTTGACGCTCTGTCGGGAAGTGTGTCTGCTTTTCTTTACAGCTGATATTCTTTAAATATATAATGAAAGTGTTTGTATATCAACAGCGCTTTTTGTGAAGGGTTAGTTGACGCAAAAAAGTGTCCATTCACATTTTTTTCCTCAAGATTTTTAGGTTATATTTGAAAAGAATATCAAAATGAAAATATCTTCTGTAGCAGGTCACCATGTTAACACGTATATGTTGTGTGTGTGTGTGTGTGTGTGTGTGTGTGTGTGTGTATATATAGATAGATAGATAGATAGCTTATGTTTGAAATTAGATTTTTTTTAACTTTTTTTTTAATCTACAGGCTGCAGCAGATATTTTCTACAGGGCTTTGCTGTATTATGAGCTGTAGTAAACCATCACACTTCGATCGTTTCTCAGGAGGATCTGTGGCAGGTGCCACTATCACTGGACCCTCACCTGACATCAGCAACCAGGTAAGACAGAATGGATATTTATTTACATTATTACAAGTTATGTGAAGACTTCAGTAGCAGAAATTCTCATTGTTTTCTTATTTCATACTCTTCTGTATGCAGACCAAAATGGAAGCTAGTTTTGGATCCACGTTTCCAGCAGTCCCTCAAGTAGCAAAAGGTCAGTATTATCTGTTGGGCTACTTAGAGTCAGATTAGAATCTGAAAAATTGTCATTAAAAACTAAAACATGACACATAAATTGCATTATAAGTGGCCCTTAAAGCTGTATTATAATGCATGATACAGCTGTTTTAAAATTCCTAAAAAAAATTACAATTATCTAATGAACATTTACATTTTGAGTGTTGTACCTCTATGAAAACCATTATGAAAGAAATTGCTGGTGTTGAAAATGACCTGGATTAGCATTGATTGTACAGAAATCCATGTGACTGTTTGCCTAGCAACAAGGTTCAGTCAGTCGCTTGTAACTCTGCTCTTTCATTTCAGCGGAAACTAATTACAAACAGCACCGTAGAACCCCTTCATCCTCCAGCACTCTGACCTACTCCCCTCGTGACGACGATGATGGCATGGTAATCACAACGCCATCCTTTTTCAAAACAGCCAATCACATTTACATATTGAGGGATGGAAATCAAACACCTCACAATTTTGTCATTGACGTAAATAATAGCAAGCTTTTGGACCAGCTTAATTTGCTTTTTAGGCTGTTCTTAGTTTTAAATAAATGCATCTGATAAATTGTTCTGCTGTTTCTGGTTTTCTGATTTGTTTTATTTTTTTTTATATATTTCCCACACAGCCACAGCGTGAATACTTTCCTTAGACATAGACTGTATTGTAGCTGTTAATGCCTGGCTAGATGCAAAATTGGTTTATGGTAATTCAAATATTTACAATCAGTTTTGTTTTTCACCAAATTTAAGTGAATCAGAAGACTGTTATCAGAAGGTGTTTTCCTTTAGTCGATCATTTTGGACATTCACAGGAAAGCCCAGATATGAGATAAGCTGAGGTAGTTGAATCTGAATTAAAAAAAAAAAAAAAAAAGTTGTTAGTTTGTTGAGCAGGAAAAGTTTTACTACTTTTGATTTTGTTGCTTTCGTGATTGTGTGTCTGATTCAATGACTTTTGGTAATGCTCAGGGGAGTATCCCAGATAGCAAAATTACTTACTCACATAAACCCAGAACGCTTGGTTGATTAACCTTAGCCTTTCTTAATTGTGGTTATCAGTTCAAAAACGCAGCTGTGAGGAAGTTCATTCGACTTAGAGGACGTTCATGGAGACCACACACTAGAGCTGCATCCAAATTTACACTAAATAGCAGCATTCCATATCTTCTTTCTTCTTTTGCAATTTACATTCACACCTACTGGCCAATTATGCAATTTGTTTTAATCTTTAATCTTGAAAAGCCTTTTTATTTTGTATTTTACTATAGAAAAGAATTATATAAAAACCTATTGGCTCCCGCCAGTCCAAATGACTGGCCAATTGATGCGAAGTATGCAAATCGCATGCAAATACTGACGAGCTCGAGTGGCAGTAAAAAATGCGGTGCACGCGACAATTACGTCAGAATCTTCTACTTCACCTGTTGAATTCACTATGGCAACAATCTGCAAGATCTGCGTGGGACCGATAGAGCCGCCGGATCAGCACGACTACTGCGTCGCCTGCCTGGGCCTGGCCCGCGGAGCTGGACGAGTCCAACTGCGGGCATTGCGCGGACCTTCTGGCCCGCGTGCTCCGGACCCACCGCGATGTGGCTCGCGGCCTATTCGGGATGAGGCCCACTGCCGCCAGCGTGCAGCTGGTGGGCCCTCCCGGTGACGGGAGTGTCGTCTTGTCGCTCCACCAACCCCAACGTTCACCCCGTTCCCCGGTCTCACTCCCCGAGGACTGCTTCCGCCCTCCTTCCAACATCGCAGAGTTTGTATCCTTTAGCCAGGAGGAGGGGGATGACTCGATGTCCATCTCGGCCTTGGAGAGGGAGGATTGGGCGGGATCGGAGTCCGATCAGCTGGACAGCATGGGGCCCCCAGACCTCCAGGAGGAGCTCATGAGGGTTCTGTCAAGGGCTGTCCAGGAGTTGGAGCTTACCTGAAGAGTCCTCCAGAGGAGCCTGCCAGGAGTAAGCTTGACTCCTGGTATTTCAGATCCGGAAAGCTGACTCGAGGACTTCGGTCCCCTTTTTCCCCGACGTACATGAGCAGCTGATAAAAACATGGTCTGCGCCCCAATCAGCGCACGTCCACTCTGCCACACAGGCCATTTTTTCCCACGTGGATGGGGCGGAGGCCCACGGGTACGTGC